AAAAAAAAAAAGAACCGAAGAAAAAGAAAATATATTTACTGAACTGGATGCAACTTGATGGCTTGCTCGCTATTTAACTACGTTCCAGTCTAAGCCTTGTGAAAGTGATCGCCTTCAACAGAATCGACGTGATCCAATACGCGTCTGAGTATATTTTTTATATAAAGCGAACCTATCCTAAAATAAAATACTCATATAACAAGTGTAATAAGTATGTATATATAACATATACATAGTATATGTATATGTATAGTATCAAAGATTCCTTCATTTCTTATTTTAATTTTTATAAGTATTTCGTCTTTTCTTACGGTAATCGGGCTCCTTTGCTAAGACCTTTGCTAAAACATTAGCAAAGGTTTTGTCTTCACTAGCTGGATCAATCATCTGTCTTCTTTTTGTTGAATGGATCAGTCTCGCCTTTGTTGGCTGGATGGTCTCTGTTATGATTTAATCCCAGCAGTTTTGGAAAAACATTATATCTTCGTTCCCAAAGCTGGAACAAAAACATTAATCAAAGAAAAGAATCAATCCAACATCTAAAATTATAGTGCTCACAAAGCCGATAGCAAAATATGTTAACTTTGAGTTTGTATTGCATATTCATGCATCTTCAAGATATAAATAATATACATCTATATAGGTTTAGAATATTAGTTACTTATCTGACATTTGTCTATCCATCAATTTATTTCACTCTATTCTCCTTTTCATGCTTTCATCGTCTCCTACAGGTTTCATTCTCCAGTTGACAGTAACAAATTGATTCTACCTCGAAGAACGAAGCCGCAACAATGAATTACATTTATGTAAGCATTTCACAAAATTTAAAATTTAATGTTTACTTAAATAATATCCTTGTTTACTTAAATAATATCCTTTTATAAAATATATATTTTCTCTAGCTGTAATATATATTGGCCAGTGATTAATTATTGTTTCATTAAGTATTGTTGCAGTACTTTTATTTTGCTTGTACAAAAGTAATAAAATTACAAGGCGCAAGAGTAATTTGTCACTCGTCAATTTATTACAGTACCACTATTAATTTCTTATAAGGATTATTTATCAACAAACATTTTTTATTTTTATAAGTTGGTAATTATTTAGTTTAGCGGCCTCACCTCCGATTTCGATGAAAATAAACTCAATCGACGCGTTTTTGCATATCAAATAACTTTTTCCTCTGACAAAATCGTCGCTCTCTACTGCGAAGCGAGATATTAATAAACAAAGTTGAGAGCGTGTTAGGTTAGAAAATCTGTCATACCATCTATCTCTAGCTATGTAACTGGAGGACTTCGCCCCCCAGCCCCCCGTAACACGGTAGGGTGGGAGCTACAGTCTTTTGTGAGAAATTCACTCTTTAGCTTAAGCATAAGAGACTATAGCTCCCACCCCCCGTGATAGGGGGGTTTGGGGGGCGAAGCACCTCAGTTACATAGCTAGAGATAGATGGTATGACAGATTTTCTAACCTAACACGCCCTCAACTTTGTCTATTAATATCTCGCTTCGCAGTAGAGAACGACGATTTTGTCAGAGGAAAAAGTTATTTGGCATGCAAAAACGCGTCGATTGAGTCTATTTTCATCGAAATCGGAGGTGAGGCCGCTAAACTAAATAATTACCTAATAAAGGTGAATAAAAATAATTATCGCTTGAATCTTATGTAAAATTATCACTATTGTATAATATATATGTCTGACTCCACATATTTTCATCACACACACACACACACACACACACACACACACACACATTATATATATATATATTTACCACTATGAGCCGATTGTTCCAACTTTTTGGTAAATTAATTGATAGTTAAGATCAATCTGTCTTTGTCTAAATTAAAGAAAAAACATAAACAGACATATGATTTAACTATCAGTTAACTTACCAAGAAGTTGAAAGAACCGCCCTATCACATTTTTTCTGATAACTATATGCCTTATCTCAAAATGTCACTCACTTATTCTGTAACAATTCTTCTTTTTCGGCAATATTAAATCGTAAAGTGTAAGTTATTAGACCAGAGTTCGATTTAGAATTAGATCAGAATGCATATCTGATGTAGCATATTTCAATTTTCTATAGCACTTATCTCCAAGTTTGTCTCCGGATAAAATTTCGCTTGAAACGTCACTCGCGCAGCTCTCTTATCAATGGGTGTATCCAGTATTATATACTCTACTGAGCGCTTACGTCTAACTGGTATATGTATTTTTAGATCTAAAAGAATATGCCAATCAGAGCAAAAGCTCAACAAGCGATTGTAACAGTGGATGCACTCACTGTTGGATGCATTCAGTAGTATAATTGCTCACTAAACATTCAGTAAGCTCTCATATCTGATTGGTGTATATTTTTTAAATCTAATAGAATACACCAATCCGATAAAAGAGCTCACTAAACATTCAAGTAGTGTAGTGCCGGATTCTTCCATTGTCGCCACAGTTGCGATCAATAAAGGGCGCGATCCATTAAAGGTGCCTTTAAGGTGCTTTTACATGAGAGCATCGAGCGTTGAGCATTAAAGCGGTAGCCAATCAACGTGCCACTTTCCGTAAGAACTACAATTATACTTCTGGGATCTGATATGTTAATTGGCTAACGCTTTAACGCTCGACGCTCGGACACTCCTATTTAAAGATGCCTTTACAGCCATAAGGTGCGAGTGCAATGGTCCGTAAACATATCCGTATCCGTAACCATAAACAAAATCGAGTCGTGATATATGATTGGTCGTGATATATATCACGATATATATAAACAAGGGTATATTAAGCTAGTATAATACTCATAGTTAGGCGACAGTTTCCCGAAAATTGGAGGCGATAATGTTGGTACCAAGGAAAATCTCTACACGATATAATTTAAAGATTTTGTTTTTTGTAACTACACTGCTAAATTGGTGCAATAAATTGAAATAAGGCAAGTATACGTTCTCTCACTCTAACCTTTTGCATTAGTTCAGCAGTGCAGTTACAAAAAACAGATCTAACCAATATTCATCAACAAAACATATTGTATTGATTGAATACGTCGTCCTTGATATGCATTGTCGATATTAAGATTATCTAATAGAAAGTTACTATTTAGTACGCGTATCAAGTGCACGATGTGAAACCAAACCATTGGATACTTTCTAGTTGCATACACTGTATTATCTTTTACAAGATATTTTAGAAAATATGTAACCAATAAACTGGTTTGTGTACATGTGTGTCAAGATGTGTTAAGCAATTGGAAAGCATCCATTGTAGACGAGCCTTTAGCCCCAATCTACAATAGGTGTAGTAAGCTTTAAACCTTAAGAAATTGACCAATCACAGTGGAATTATAGAGAAATAATCAATTGTGATTGATTAATTTCTTACGGCTTAAGCTTACTACATTTATTGTAGATCGGGACTTAAAGGTCATCTACAGTGGAAGATTGTACGTCGTATTAATAAGAAATTGATCAATCATATTGGATTTTTACAAGAATAATCGATTACGATTGGTCAATTTCTTACTGCTGCGGCGTACGATTCTCCATTGTAGATGGCCCTTTACGAAAAGTGTGTCCCCTTATCCACAACCTTGCTTTAATTTCTAAGCCTTAAGAAATTGACCAATCATAGTCGATTATTTTAAAAATAATGAATTGTGGTTGGTCAACGGTATCCAATAAAAGAATAGCTTTCTAATGGAGAATTCTCTATTAGAAAGCTGTTCTCCTATTGGATATCGGACGTCGCACGTTGGACATTGGATGCGGGTGAATCCTCCATTAGTCCCGAGCCATAATAGCTGTTTAATTACAGTCGATTATTTTCTTCAAATTTGAGTGGGATTGATCAATTTCTTAAGGCTTAAAACTTACTATACCTATTGTGGATCGGGATTTGGGCAACAGGCAATAGGAACAGGGAATTCGAATTGGTCAATTATTTCTATTTCCTGTTCCAATTAGCTAATGCCTATTCTTGTTGCCTGTGCCTGGCATTGTGCATAGGGCTTAATACTACGTTCTGCGTGGCATAACCGATTCATTGAATATTCACTAAATAACCGGCTAATGTGGAGACTGCACACGTTCTGGTTCTGTTTCTTCTCAGCTGCAACGAATTTAAACGTAGTCAGGTCGGGAAACATTTCAATTATAATTCTAAAAGATCTACTTATTTGTAACCGTCTTCAAGAAAACCGTCTTAATAAATCCCAAGTCGAAATAGTGGAAAATTTCCTAGATTTGAAAGTTTCCAAGAGAGATCTTGAAATTCACATGTGGGGGAAAATATCGGAACTACCTGACAACACTGCTTTAGACGCAAAGTATCTCGGGAAGGAACGCGCTGATGGTGAAGTAATCTCGTTTTAGCCAGGTTTATTGGATATTCTTTTGGCAATCTTACTACAACTTGATAATGTACAAACTGTTAAGTTTAAATCGATTGTGGTGACCGTGGACCGTTGAAAGTTTGAGGTGAGTACAGATTTTCATACGTTAACGATTAAATTGTTTCACTCTAACCTACATTTAGTTGTTGCTACATTCAGCTTGACCTCAAATACACAAATTGGATAATTTTAACAAGTCCATACATTTTAAACATTGATGCTGACTATTTGTTTGTTCTTGCTACTTATTTATGCTAATTGATCGTAATAACACATAATTGGTTTGCAATCGCTCATCACGGTGATTATCGACCATGCGGTTTTCTTTCTAAAATCAACTCAATCATATCTCAATCATATTTCAATCATAAGAAATTTTAAGACAAAGAATATAATGCACATGAGCTTGTTAGCTAAAAGTACGGCATGACAATAACATAAGCTCTTAAACAGAGCATCAATAAATCAGTATGTAAATTATTTATAAAATACTCATTTGATTTTTATATGAATATTTGAATATACAAAAACGTATACAATAACAAGGATATTTGAATTCTTAAGATGAATTATTCCAATTTTCAATAATGAAAGCATCTATAAGTTAAGAGTAACGACACTAAATGCACATAAATATATTTATTAACCTTTCATGTGATTTGCTGTTTTCTATTTATTTGGTATGTTAGTAATTTCTAAGCTACTTTTCTTCTCATATATGAAAAAAAGAAACCAAGATAACATTTTTTTCTTTTTTCATAAAACACAAAAGAAAACCATAGAATTATTGACTATTTGTGAAATGACCGACGAGTCATATGAGGAGTTAATATTGCTATCTGATTATAACAATGAATTCTATAAACTTAAATATTACATACTAAAAATATATTTATTAAGTTTCCGTGTGTGATTTGCTGCTTTCTGCTAACATGGTGCAATTCATTGATCATTTATGGGCAATATTATTTTTCTTCCCATATACGAGTAAAAAAATCAGAATAAAATATTTTTTTTCATTATTTGAAGTTTTTATTTCCTATTCAAAACATATAGTCTCTAATGTTTGTGATTTTTCTATTTTTTTGCAAAACAAAAGCATAAAATTATTGACTATTTCTAAAATAACCTAGAAATCATATTAAGGGTTAATACTGTTTATCATATTAAGGGTTAATCATATTAAGGGTTATCTGTTTAATATAACAAACGTGAATCCTAAAGATATTACATAATATACTGCTACAATTGTATAATTGAATTTCAGGTTCGTACTAAACGCGACCAAAGCTCAACGCGCCCATCAGGCCTATAAAAACCTCCCTGTCCTTGCGCCTAAAGCCTTACGTGGCTCACTTGCGCTGGGCCAGGCTACTACGCCAGACCGGTGAGTTCCCACACAAAATATCGCTTGGTAGCACGGTGGGCACTCAAAGCCAACTAACCATGTCTGTACAAAGTGTTGCTCTGGCATCTCTCACGGCCACCTATACCGACTCGGAGGGCGAGGACGGGGTGGAAGACGAGCGCCTACAGGAGGAGAATTCGAACACTCCCCAGGGGGCCGCCCCGCATAATGCCCAAGTCGGTCGTCAGCCCCAGGCCCGATCCATCAGTCCCATATCTGGCCGTTCAGCCTCGCACAGTCCCGTCGTCGGCAAGTTCGGTAGTAGCGACTTGCCGGACGCGACCACGAAGGTGCAGCGATTGGTCTCTTATATTGACGACACGGTAGTCTCCGACGACGAGGGGGCGGCCGTTGCACTGCCGGTGCCTTTGTTGACGACGGCGAGCGCGACGGTGGCGGAACGCACCGAGGAGAATGGTCTCCCGGCCAGCACAGCTGCTACTGCTGCTGCTGCCGCCGTCACTGCTACCGCTGCCGTCGTCGCTGCCACTGCCACCGTCGCCGCCGGCGCTGAACGCCGGTCGCCCACCTCGCGTCCCGGAGAATTGCTTTCAGATGGCGTTGAGACCGGGGATCTCTATGGGGTGACGATCCCACCGGAGCCGGCGGGTCAATGTCCCTCCGAGCTGCAGGAGAAGATCGCGAAGCTCTACCGGAAGATGGAGAGTGGCGGGCTGGACATGAATCTGCTGATCCAGCAGCGCAAGGATTTTCGGAATCCCTCGATTTACGAAAAACTCATTCAGTTTTGTAGCATTAACGAGCTGGGCACCAACTATCCGCCGGACAGATTCGACCCGTTCAAGTGGGGCAAGGATTCGTATTACGAGGAGCTTGCCAAGGTGCAGAAGGCGGAGATGGACAAGCTGGATAAGGCGCGTAAGGAGAAGACGAAGATTGAGATCGTGTCGGGAACTGCGAAGCGGCCAAACAGCTCTACCAGCGGTACTGAGGACGACGCCAAGAAACGGAAAAGTAAATGGGACCAAGTGGCGACTGGCGGCTCTGCCGCCGCAGCTGCTGTTGCAGCCGCAGCCGCTGCCGCCGCAACGGGTAAGCCCACGGTCCTTCTCACCCAACCCACCTTAACGACACTTACATCCTCCGCCTCCGCCACTGGCACCAAACCCACCGTTATATCGGCCTTCGGTTCCTTGCCGAAGAAAAGATTGTAACATATCGTGTAAAAGTGTAAATATTAAATATAATGTTAATATTAAGGTACACACTATTTCTTATTAGAGAGAACTACGAGACTGCGGAAAAAAAATTGAGGTCGAAAAATGAATGCGACGACCTCTTAGGAGACTTAGATCCTTGGATTGATAAAATTATTTTTGAAACGATGATCTTCATTGGAGATGGTTTAATCATTTCTTTCTAGCTAAAGTCTGTATATAAAAATATAAAGCAAGAAACAGAAAAATTTTAACGTAATGAAGCAGATCTATATATTGTTAGATGCTTTAACGATTCTTCTGAACTTTTATGGAGTCAAACATTTGAGGAGGGAAGAAAAGAATTTTCAAGCACATATATTTCTACAGTGAATTTGAAAGTGTATAAATTTAAAATCTCGAGAGTTTAATGATCTGAGCAAATTCAAATTCAAGGATTTAAGAATTCGAGAATTTATATACTTGCAAAGTAAACATATTGTAAATAATATTAACCGTTATAAACATTATTCTCTGTCAAAAGTTATGAAACCTTTGACGAAAAAGAGAGAAAAATATTCTAGAGGTTTTTTTTATTTTTTAGGTTTTTGTATTTTTCAATGTTTTTAGTTGAATAGTTCCAAGACCTCTCCAAGACCTCTTGACAAGATATTTGTCAAACAATACGATAAGATCGCAATGCCAAGTACATAAAAACGATGTCGGTCATACACAAGATATATGTCTGTGTGTGCAGATTTAGAAATAAAAATCTATACATACTGAGTTCTTTGATTCTGAGCTTTAGATATTTAAATCTCTATTTAAATCCTTGAATCAGAGCTTGTAGAAAGTAAACAGAACTTGAAATTTACAAAGTTGCAAGACCAAAAAGAAAATAATAGATTACAAAAAAGTCCGACAGTTTTTAAATTTATGAGTCTGAGGATACAAGGATCTAAGAACGCAGGAACGTAGGTACTCGTACATTTAAGAACAGAAGAGATCTAACACACAATCATAGATCAAAATATACTGTAAATAATTTAGATTAAAAATGTAACTCTCTTTATATATAAGAGATATGAACTTACAAGGAAAAGAAATTAGTGTCTTGTGTACATAGGTCCTTGGATTGCCAAAGCTTTTTGGAGTTTTGTTTTTTGATGTTAAATATATGCAGAAGAAATAGAACTTGTAAAGAAATCAAGATTATAAAATTGTCAATCGCATTTTCTGGAGACTTATCGATCTAAATGTCTAGAAAGATCTAAATAATTCGATTTGTGAATGTGAGTGTGACCAATGTATGATGTGCAAATCTACAAATTTAATAATCTAAAAATTCATAGATTTGCAAATCCAAGAACCTAGGTATTATGAATCGAAAAGTATGTATGACAAATAGAATCGGCTAGGACTTGGATAATTTTAGAATTTTATGATTAAGAACCGACAAATGCACTGATTTTGCAACCCATAATAGAAATAAGTAAGATGATCTAATGAATTTTGATATTAATAAATTTAAATAGTCACTGTTTCAAAATAATTGAAAAAACTTGGGAACTTGTAGAAATTCAAGAAGTTAAAAATTCATTGAGCTGCATTCAACAGATACATATGTACCCAAGTAGCATAATACATCCGAGAATCACCCTAAACATGTTGTCATTCTAAACCAAAACGCCTAAAAAGTACCTCGGAACATCTTTGATCACATTCAGAATGATCTCGGAACATTTTGTGCTATCTGAATATGAAGGGACTTAAAACGCTTAAGAATTGAATGATAAATACAAGAATCTGTACAGCTACAGAAACTCAAATTTAAATCTCACAAGTTAATAATACTTGTACAAGAAAAGCAAATGACGTTAAATGTTGACACCGAATGGATGTAAAAAATTTATTGATTGAAATCTAGAAGGAAAAATTTACTTTTTCTGCTAGAATAAATACAGTTTATCTCGATTAAAGATAAAAACTAAAATAAATTTTCACATCTTATTTTTCTAAGTTTCATGTTTCTAATATGCAATCGTATACTTTTTCAAATCAGCATAAAAGAAATCAATTACAATACAAAAAAACTATGAAACTATAGTGACTTCATAATTCTGTTGACTTGAAAGCTCGCGTTATTCTTGAGATTCGTGCTTGAAGGAATTTTTTAATTCTTGGCTTTACATTCGCAACATAACTGGTGTCTATTTTTCATCGTGTATATGTGCAGTTCAATACAACGTATACACCGAATTTAGTTGACCTTTTTATTAAGATAAATATATTAATTGAAGAAAAGGTACCGATACAGAAAGTGAGATTGTGTTTATTTTAAAAACACAGAAAATAAGTAACTTTAAATAGAATTATATTGGTACGTTGAGTTTTTCTGTTTTCTATTCATCGAAAGTACTTCTGTTGTAGTCTTTTCGACTTTAGTATGGAAAAGGTGTGTGCCTGCGAAGCATTGTTATTTAACTCTCGGTATACCATCTTATTAATTAATAAATCAAAGAATTTTAAAAAATTGTTTTTATTCTTTAAAAAATTTCTAGAAAAGAATAAAATTTAGAAAATACAGAATATCCTCTTACACCACAAAATTATTCCAAAAGGAAATTCCAATACTGAAATTGGTACACCGAGAATTAATTACTGAACGTTACATCTGTAATCATAATTAAATAATTACACATGTGGCGTTCTAAATCAGGTCATACTAAAGATATAGTATTGCAATGTGACTTTCGCTTAAGCAGGACTATCTTTGTAAAGACGCACCGGTAAACTTAGACATTACAAAACTATGTGAACTGCGACAGTCAGCGCTATATTAGCGCTTTGTACTATGTTTCCGGCGAAAGTTACGAGCGATGATTTTGACGGATACAAACGCCTGCGTTGCCGTTATCAAGCGTACGTTCAGTATGTTGGAAAATGTGATAACCGCTTCGTAAATATGTTGGAAAAGGATAAACCGCTGGACTATATATCCGGCGGAAAATCTTACAAGTCAGCTGCTTGTTCTGTTGCCATTAAACGCAGTCGTTCGATCTGGACGTGCGAGACGAATAAAAGTACTAGCGATTCGTGTGTGTTAATCGATCGAATCAATGTGAAACGCTTGCTAAGATAGACAGGATTCATTTTTTATATGAAGAAACTAAATTCTTTCAGAGGACTTTGTATATACACGCTCTTGTGTCACAATGGAGAACGGAATATACAATATGCAAGTTATAATGTGTATTCTTTTTGTTGATGATTGTAACAAAGCAATAATGCCATTATGTTCCTTTTACCTACAGCTTTTACACTTTGGAAATTATATATTCTGAAATTTTCGCAAGAAGAACTCAAATTTGCCGCCACTTCAGAATTATACAAGGGGTGCGATCCATCAGATACTATAAGTGCTTTGAAGCGCCGTACAGATCAATCGTAGCTTCCTTCAAGTGCTTCAAGCATTTGTAGCATATAATGGATCGCATCCGGAATATTTAAAAAAAATTATCGCATATATTTTTATTTCTTTCTTAGAAGAAATTTTATTTTTCTCTTCAATAACGACTTATGTAAATATTTTTTTTTTATTACAAAGAGAAGAGTATTCTAGCAAATCTCCGTGGCCTAGAAAAATAATTTAAGAAGCTTGGGTTGCGTTCAGATTCCCTACCTGGGTGCACTCTAAAGCTGGTAGCACATAGAAAAACTTAAGCAGTAAGACGTAAGCAGTAAGTAAATTGACCAATCACAGTCATTGATTCTTCTTATGGTCCAAGAATCAACGACTGTGATTGGTCAATTTGTTTACTTCTTACGTCTTACTGCTTAAATTTTTCTGTGTGCCACCAACTTTAAGCTGGTTTTATTAGATATCGAACGTCGTACGTCGTATTCTTTTATTGGATATCGGACGTCGTACGTCGTATTCTTTTATTGGATATCAGACGTCGTACGTCAGACATCGGACACGGTGTGAATCCTGCATTAATCGCTCTGAGAGCGATTATTGACGTCATAAGTCTCTACTAGCCAATCATAAAGCTTATAAGTACTTGTCCGATAAACGTAGGCTGAATAACCCAGAGCCAGTTGAATATGCTATAATACAAGAAACATACATAATATATGTAATATATACTATAGTGTTTTTAGTAATAGAGTGCACCCGGGTAGGAAATCTGAACGCACCCTTGAGTACAAACGGTGAAATATTGGCCCTGTTTATAGATTTTTACGGTAATGACAATCAGCAAAGATAGACTGTGCGTCAGTGAACACAACGCTTGAGTGACTTACTTTTGGATAAATATCATTGGTGGTGTTAATGGAAAATGAATATTATTGGTAATCTAAAAGTCTACGTTAATCATAAATAACTTTGTTAACGGATGCGCAACCGTTGCGTTCGTTGAACGTAACCAAAGTTGCTTGCAACTGTGTAAAATTCTTGAATCTAATTGATGTATGCTGCTGGGTCTTTATTCTTTCAATTTCTTTCATCGATAAGAGTTCAGAATTCATCTATAGTATGCGTAATATAAACTATAGTTTTTTAGTACTGGCAGTGAACATTGGAATACAACCGCGGAATTCAATATTCAAGTCTCTATCAACCAATCTTTGTGATTGGCTAGTAGAGACTTATGACGTCATTAATCGCGCGCTCTCGGAACTATTTAAACCGTTCTTTTCCAAAGAATTTCCAAAGATACTGTGTATACTGATGCAATAAGTTAAAGTAAAACAAAATATACTTATTTCATTCTAATTCATTGCACCAATATAAATTAGCTCAGGGAATCAATTATGAATCCTTTTCCCTAGCATAAACTCGCAAAAAGTGCAGAATGAAACATTAAAAATGGAACTGTTCATATTTGACAAGTTCACATTAGAAGAAAAGATCCATGATTGCGTCCAAGTATTGCGAAATTATTCACTTTTCATGATTTCATACCATAGGCAAAGTTGCATGATTCATAAGTAAGATCGAGTGCACGTGAAGAGACTCATGAGGTCTATTCGGTTTCGAAAAGCTTCTGAACTAGTGCACATATAGTGCAATAAGAACATTTGAGTGAGAAAGTATACTTGGACCTGTTTTCTATTGCTGAACTAATGTACACTTTCGGAACTTAAAAAGAGACAGATATACAGATAAAATTTGGTGGAAGAAAAATGAGAGAGAACTAATATAGCCAGTTTACAGCAATAAAAAATCATAGACATGATATATCTAGACCGAGCGTTTGCCTTTATTTGAGATAGTGCGTTCTCTTTCATTCGTGCATGGTACGTGAGTGTTATGCGCGAATGAGAGTGGAGTCCCATGGCACGTATTTTCGAGTAACGCGTAACCGCGTAACCAATCACATCTTTCTATTCTTTTAGAAGTTCCAACAGAAATACTAAATGTCGCAATTTATTGGTTACGCGCTTACGCGTTACGCGAAAATACGTGCCATGAGACTTCATCCTGAGAGAGAACGCACTATCTCAAATAAAGGCAAACGCTCGGTCTAAATATATTGGGTGCTTTCCATTTAATAACACAAATCGACACAAGCATCATCCTATCTTAAGCCGATATTCATAATCGAATCTTCAATTCAATGTCAAGTCCATCTTAAGTAATATCTTAAGATGCGAATACAGCTCTGTGATTGGTTCATGATATCTTAAGACAGTACTTAAGATGATCTTAAATATAAGATCGGACTATGAATACCGGCCTTAGTTACTCATTGAATATGGACAAAGACAGAATGATGCTTGTGTCGACTTGTGTTATTAAATGGAAAGCACCCATTATGTCTATGTAGAAAACAGATCCCTTGTTTCACTGCAACTTATCGCACTAGTGCAGAAGTTGTTCGAACACAGGCCGAAAGATGGTGGACGGGAAGTTGCGGGCGCAGGTGTAGTCGACGACAGGTGGCGGGAGGACGTTCACGGTGGCGTTCAGTCCACTGCCCATCTAGCGCACGCCCGGTGTTCCGGGAGCGTTTGTGGCAGCGCGCGCGCACGCGGCGTTTTACCCGGTAGGTAACTCGAGTGCATAGTGAGAGCAGCGGCAGTAAACGGCCGCGGCTAGGCGAGAGCTCGCGATCGATTCTGGGCACACGTTGTTGCGGCGCGAAACGGCGACTCCGGCAATGCGATATTCCGCAGGTCTCTGTGAGACGCAATAAGGAGAAAACGCCGTCACCTTGGGGACAGCTCGCGGTTCTTTCTCTCTCTCTCTCTCTGTCTCTTTCTCTCTCGCTTTCTCTCTCTCAACGCGAATCCCGACGGCAGTCTCGCGAGCGCGCGCGCGCGCTCCTTTCAGTTCGACACGGCACGGGAACGTTTATCAATGCGCCTGCGATAAATCCCAACGCGACGGAGTCTCAGGAGGTCGCGGAGCATCCAACGTAGCTACGGTCAGAAGCTTCGGCGGCTTGGCGGAGGCAGAGACGCACAGGCGGAGGCGGCGGTGGTGGTGGTGGTGGTGGCGGGGAGGCGGAGGCGGGGAAGCTGTTCATCGAACGGAACAGCCGCGCGCGCGGTGTGATACGGACGGAGCTCTGTGTGTTGTACGGTTGGTGAAACGGGCACGGGCATATCTCCTCTCTCGGGGAAAGAAGGCGGCGGCTGGCGATTCCTTTGTAGGTAAGTGTCACCGTCATCGGCGCCGCCGACCGCACACGGTTATTCCGCGCGGCCACGCGAGCCGCGCTCTTCTCGCAGACCCGGACGACTTCCTGCGAGCTACGCTCGCGCGCGTACGCTCCTTTGCCCGCTCGCGCCCAACTAGACGGTGAATGACGTAGCGCGAGGGGTGTGTCGGCCGATAAGATTCGGCGGCGACGGGTACGTTAACACTCGGACGTGTTACGTGCATGCCACGCGACCCGCGATTTTTCCGGCTCGACCGACGCTCGGCCCGAGTTGCCTCTCCGTCTCCATCTCTCCCGCCTTTCCGTCTCCTTTCAATCGCCCGACCGATCGAAATCTAAATTCGCCCCCGAAATGTCGCCATTTGCATCGTCCTCTGTCACTGGTCCTGGCGAGTTATACTACCCTGCGGGCAGATCGCTTCTGGCGAGCTCGTGTCTCGCAGTTGTCGCGCCGAGCGATGGGTGGCGGCGACCCATCGATCAACGGTCGGGTTAAACGTTCCGCACGGCTAATTATGTGTGCTCTCTCTCTCTCTCTCACTCTCTCTCTCGTCACTGACGCACGCGAACCGTCCGGAGCTCAAGTCCCCGTCCGTCGGCTTAGAGAGAGGTCTCGTTCTCTATCGGTCGCCTCTAATTTCTCCATCTTCACGTTTCAGAGTGAGGAAACTCCCGCTCTCGAGCGGAGTCGAACGGTGCGAATCGGGACACCGCCGATTGTTCTCCCAATAACTCGATACAGCCGCATCTCTGTCTCGCGCGCAAAGGTCGGCGTAATGTTCAGTAGCTTGTTGTACCGGAGCCGAAGGCGAGATCACTTGCATCATTCTCCGCGAAGTCTCGCGAGCAATTCGCCGCACCACGGAGGAGGCTCGCTTCTCAAGTCGCGCGTCCGCTTATTAGGGAACACCCTGTACACATTCGTCGGCCGTTATCTCTGAGAGAAACTCGCAACGGCACGGCTAGTCTGTATGAGAAACCGTCAAACGCGATTGCGTACGAAAAATACGATTCGTGTGTTTGCATATGTATGTGTGTGTGTGTGTGTGAGATTCTTTTGTAATTGAGGGTCAATTGTCCGTTTTGTTGTTTCATTTTTGTCACCGTTACTCCGGGCTTTCATAATTGACGGCGCTCTACGCTGCTCGCTCCCTGCGACGAGCATAATCTGTGATTAAGCATGACGTCATTGCGTTAAGTGTCCGCTCGCCGTTCGCCGGTCGCCCGACCGACGATAATCCGCACTAACGTGCCTCGTTTTCGCGTGTGTGACGTCAGCGTTTGGAACGAAAAACATTCGGCGCGATGCGATTGTCGTCGGCGTATCCGCGTGATCGTTCACCTGATTGACGGTTAAAGAAATTAATTGCTCTGAACGCTCAATTATCGCCGGGGCGTTGTTGCACTGTGTGTCCTGTTATTTATTGACAGTGCAAACACGAGAGATATGCGCTCTAATCTGTATCAATACTTGGGTCGAAGATATAGAAGTCAGTGCTGAAAAATGACCGGCCAACTCGGCGTCAACCGAAGCGATACGCCTCAGATTTAATTAATAAAAGTCACAACGTCCAGCGAATGGAATTTCAAACGATCTTTATGATCTTGCGTCTCTCTCTCTCTCTCTCTCTCTCTCTCTCTCTCTCTCTCTCTCTCTCTCTCTCTCT